AAGTGCTGGGATTATAGGAGTACGCTGCCAGGCCCCGTCAAATTCTAAATCTTAAAATCCAGCTGAGCTCCAGTGAGGAAAATACCTGAAACCACTCATGAACACTTTCTTTACTGCCTGCCAAGAGAAATGATTTGAGGGGTGATCCACTCCTTTTACGTGATATTTCCAGTTTACCTCATTTTGACTAACCTGTTTCTGCCAAATTCTCAAAACACACACCACTTATGAAGCCTTTCCAATGTAAATTAAGTAGCACATGTATACTAACCACATCAGTTGGACCAAACTTAGGGCTGGAGTAAGACAATACAGGTTGTGTCCCTTATCCAAAATGCTTGGGACAAGAATGTTCAGATGTTGAGTTTTTCAGATTTTAACAAGTTTGCAGACTTTCCTTGTTGTGCATTCCTAATCTGAAACCCAAAACCTCTGCTGTTTTAGGTTTTGCATCATTTCAGATTTTGGATTAGTGATGTTCAACCTATAGCAACTCAAAGCTACCTTTATTTTCTTAAAATAAGTATTTTGTTTTTGTTAAGGAAAAAATTTTTAAAATCCATAAACTATTGATTTAGTTAAATTAAGGTACCTCAATATATGGTCTTTCATTACATATAAATATTCACATTAATAAATTTAGTAATTTATAATATTAAGTAATATTAAATTATAATATTAAATAATATGGCGAAGTGGATATTTTTCTGTTTTGCAAATATATTCACACAAATGATAAACCAATCTTCCTCTGCTTTTTCATTCCTCTGCTTCAATTAATTTTGGAAAATAATACTCTAGTTTTTATTAAGATCTCAAATAGAATGTTATTAAACTGAAATATTTAATTCATTTCTTTTATTAATGGTTTCTCCTTCTGACTCTCTGGACAGAGAGTATTTATATTACCTAAAAACATATTTTTCATGGGGGGGGAGGACTCCACCCTTAAATAAAATAATTTAAAATTCACATTAGAGAGGCATTTGTTTTAACGCTACTCAGTTCTGTGTCTTTAAAATGTTTTACGAAAGAAGAAATCTGTGCAGTGCCATGTCTGAAACACTGCAATATATTCATATGAAAACATTTTGAAAAGAGAAATCCCTCAAAATTAGTTATTTTCAATCTGGGAAGAGGTTTCTTATTCTTAGGTCAGGGGCTTCTCGCTGGTTTATGTCTGGATAATTTCTCTTGAGCACAGTGCCTTAGAGTAAGGATTTGTACATCTCACAATGGTCTCTAGTCCTCCATCAATCAGCAAGGCTGTAAAATACTTGATTTACTAATCTAAACACATAAGGAAGATACTTCAGAGTCACCACCAAACTTACTTGGTTGCTTAAACGGCACAGCTGTTATTTCTGTGTTTTGCAGAAGTAAAAGAGTTAAAAGGAGGGGGGAACAAAGCTAAATCAAAAAGATATTCACAGGAAATTATTCCTACCATCTAAAATTGTTTTCAATCTGAGTATCCAGCTAAGATAATCAAGTAAATTCAGTCAATGAAATCCCATCATCTTTTAAGACAAAGGAAAATGATGCATTATATAACAATAAGGATGCAAAGTTATTTTTATAGTTGGCTTTCTGTTAGTGGTAAAAAAAACAGGTAAGAAAGAACAGGCCATTATTTGGTGGTGGTTATTTCTCGGTGGCAAAAACAGGGATGAATTTTTTTCTTCTTCCTTTCTCTATTCTTTGCCATGTTTTTTGGTCCCTGAAAATACACAGGCTATGTCCCAGGACTTTCAAAGATGGACCACTACCAAACACGCCTCATGAGCATGCCTGAGCTCAATTTATTTTGGTGCAGAAATGACCAATGTGGCTTGCTTGGCCAGCTACTGAGATACAGTAAGAATGCCTGCTTTCACCTGCTAGCAACATCCCACTGCAAGAAAATAAAATTCCAACTCCCCAGCCTGATCTCCAAGGCAAGGGCCCTGACCACTTCTCCACTTCAGTCCTCGCACTCACCCCCCCTCCATACTATGTCCAGCCAGCTGGCTGAGCTCATTTCCTCTGAAATTTCCTCTGCCTAGAGAAATGTTCCCCGCGAATGTAGTATAAACGGGCCAAAATTACATTCAGTAATTGGCTCAAAGTGTCATCCTCCCACAGAGGTCTGCACTGACCACTCATTCTGATTTAGTTACCTTTCCCCACACCCACGGCGTGTCATTATAGCGACCTGTTTTGCACTCTTGATAGTTCTATTGACATGACAGTTTGGTTTTTCTCACCTTGTTATTGTTCACCTCTCCTACTCACCCCAAGATTATAAGCATCATGAGAACAGGGACCCTGTCTGCCTGGTTCGGGAGTTTCAGTACCTAGAACACCTCCTGGCAATCACAGGTGCTTAACAGTTGTTGGAGGAGCTGATGAATTACAGCAAGATATTAATATAGAAGAAATATGAAGAAACCAGAAGGGCCCTCACAACAATAAGGAAATAATATAGATGGCTATTTTCTACTTTCTTTGTTCCTGTCAAAAGCAGTTGAGTTTCACCTTCATTTGCACACACAGCAGTACTTTGAAAACCTACACTCCCCTACTGTTAGGAACTGCACTGCACTGTCCCCAGCTGTCACCGCCAGCCTATACCACAACTGTCAGGTCTGTGCTCCTCTACTCAACCACAACAAAGATGGAAACTTTAGCAGTTTCTTAAAATACCTTGGTTCTACCCTTTCCTCTAAGTAACACGTCAAATGACAGGAAATTGCCTGCCATGGACCTTGTAGAGGTTTAGACCCGACCTCACCAAAAACTCAACAGCCACCCTACAGAAGAGGCTCAGAAAGACTAAATTACTTGTTAAAAGTAACTAGCCAAGTGCACACAGCTACTAAATCACAGAGCAACACAAAGCTGTGCCCATGGGAAGTACTGGGCTAGGAAAAGTGTTACCAAGGCAGGACACATTTCCACAAGCTTAAAACCTTTAATTTTTGAACTGCCACCTACCTACAACACAATGTGTGTGGAACAGCAACTCCTTTGAACAGCCTCTTGCTGAAATACCAGTAGTATTCATCCTTAAAGGTACACATTAAACTCCGAACTTCCAGACAGCATTTCCCAATTTCTTGCGTCAAACTTAACTATTCTTTTGGAAGCTACAAGGCCTTGTACTGTACTTTCTCCCATGATATTGAATACACTCTAACTTGGACATTTTATATGCAAGTGTTATGTTAACAGTACTCTAAATTCCTCCAAAATCCACCTCCTATGTTACCTACCCAGATGTTATGGTTTGTGTCTGGGTGTCCCCCTAAAGACACATGAAGTCATGGGCTTTTAGAGTTTATGACTGATCCAGGATCCAATGTTGGATTATGGGTGTGAGTGCTACACCCCTTCTGGGGCAGATAGTTTGCATATGTAAGGGAGAGAAACAGGCTGCTTTTGGCCACCCCTCCTTCCTTTTGCTGTTGCTTTTGCTTTCTGCCGCCCTGAACTGTTGCCCTCTGCCAAATGCCACTCTGCCTTGGAGTCAGCCAAGTATGGACTGAAACCTCCACAAACTGTAAGCTAAGTAAACCTTTTCCTCCCTTAATTCTGCATGTCAGGTATTTTGTCTCAGCAACGAGAGAAAAGTAACCAAGACATCAGTGTACATCATATAGCAGATATTTTTAAAAGTTATCTAAATGAGTAAGTAAAATTCATACTAAGTGTAAGATAAACCACCTAAATTTAGGAATTACTATCATTTGACTTTCTTTTTTTTTTTTGGTTTTTCTCTGGTACCGGGAACCGAACTCACGACCTTGCACTTGCCGGGCAGGCGCTTTGCCGCTGAGCTAAATCCCCAGCCCTCATTTGACTTTCTTAATGGGCAATGAATTTATATTCGGTACAAAATCAGACTCTGATGTCATAGCAGCATCTGCAAGTTACCTCATCTTCCACCCAGTCACTTCAGAAGATCCAGACAGCCTTCTACAACCTGAATTTTTTACGTTATTTAAGACATTTCTTGAGTCTACGCAGTGACGGGAGCAAGGGGAAGAACAACATACAGCGCAGGAAAAAAGAAGTCGTGCTCTCTTGAAGCTTAACTTCTAGATAAGTAATAAAAAATTAACAGGATGATTAGAGACTGAGGAAGGGTCTGGGAGAGCATTAACTTATAGCTGAAAGCACTGGGAAAGAAAGAGGACACTCGTAGAGGTGACTCGAGGCCTGAAGTAACAGAAGAAATGACCCTCAGCAAGAGCCGTGGAAAAATATTCTGAGCAGAAGGAACGTAGAGGGCAAAGGTTTCAGGTGAGAAATTAAGTTGGTAGATCTGATGGGCAGGGTGGCCAGTAAGAGCAAAGAAAAGCCACAACGGGCCAGAGGTGGCAGCATCCAAACATGTGGGAACATGCCAGGGCATGTCACCAGAAGCTGGGTCTATGCTCGGAGAAACAGGAAATCGTGCTGATATGAAGTAGAACCGTGCTTTTTAAAACATCATGTGGGCTGCTGGGTGAAGAATATTTTGCAGACGGGTGCAGGGAAGCCAGAAGAGAGGCAATTCACTTGGCTGACAGGTGCCTAGGCGTGGACAAGGTTTGTGGCCGCAGAACGCAGCTCTGGTCCAGTCTAGAGGCTGAACTTGCTGGAGCATGAAGTGTGCCCTACGGAAAGGGGCGTTTGCTTTCACCGGCGGGGGAGATGCGGAAAGCGGGAACAGGACGTGTCTGCGAGGCATCAACAACTGCCGAGCCCTGGCGACGTTGGGAAGCCTGCTCGCCACCGCAGGGAAGGCTGTGGATGAGGCTGGGCTGCGGGATAGAGGCGGCGGGGCGACCCCGACGCCGCTTCCAGCTCCACCGGACCCGGGGGGACCGGGCGAAATTCGCGCGTGGGACGCACGCCAGATAACGCGGGTCGCGACCTGGGGCCCCTTGTTCCCCTGTGCCACCCACTCCATCCCGGACCCCCACCCCCCCTCCCTCCGAGTTCCCGCCCCCTCCGCGGCGGCTCCTCGCTCTCACCCGCCTCCGCCTCCTCTTGCCGGGCATTGCGAGCGTTCCTCGCCTTCCGGCTGCTCGCTCTGCGCTTCCGAGACATGCCGCAGGACAATGTTGACCGCGGGCAAAGTACGCTCGCGCCACCTCGGTAAGCAGCGGTCTAGTTAGCAGAAGCGTCAGCCTGGGCGGAGCAAAGCCAACTCGTCCCCTTTCCCTCGGAGAAAGCCTCCCCCTCGCCCTAAGGGTCCATATAAGTAAACTACGGAAACAAAACAGGACAGAACAGCAAAACAGCTCTTTCTACTTCCGGTGCCTCAGGCCTCTGATTTCCGGAGATCGGAGTGATTTGCCTGTTCTCGCGAGAAGCGGGAAAGGGCGCAGGGTTTGAAAGATGGCGGACGACGTGGACCAGGTGAGTGGTTCCTGAGTTCGCTCTGCAGCAGCCTTTCCACTTCCCGCCACTCTTTCCTCCCCAGTACTTCGCGGAGGTGGCCTGCTGCGCCGCCCCTCGCCCGCCCGGCCGTGTTCCGGATGCTACAGGCCTTGTTCTGTGGCCGATCCTGCTGTAGAGGCTCGCGCTCCAGCGAGTTTGAGCACGTAGTTCTCTGGCCTGCTAATGGGGATTGCACATCAGGAACTAATTCCGCCAGTGCCGGGGAGTTTGAGGGCGGGGTCTTGTGGCTTCTGTGCTCTTGTAACGCACTGGTTGGTTATCCGGTCCTTAAGAAACGCCTGTTGAACTGAGGTGGGGGAGGCATCCGCTGAAGTCAGGATTTTCTTTTTCTCATCTGACCATTTAAAGTTGTAGAGCTTGTTACCTTCAGTCACCTTCTGCCACTGGCCTTATTCTCACTGAAGAAGCTTTTGAATAATCTTACCAACCCTCATGGCGGCTACTGTCCCCTGTAAGCGGGTGACCAGAAGTCATCATAGCCTTGGCATCTGAAACATGTTCCCAAGAGTTCTGTATTCCCAATAATGGGAACCATTTTTAAGTATTTTCAGTTTACCAAGTGTTAGGTTATTTAGTCCTCTAAAGAACCCTGAAGGAAGATTGTGGCTTCCTCATTTGGAATCTAAGAATTACGAGCCAGGGATTTAGCTCACTGGTGCAGCACCTGCCTGGTGCTGGCAAGCATGAGATCCTGAGTTTGATTCCTGGTACCCGCACCGCCCCCCACCAAAAAAAGAGTGGGAATCTAAGAATTAGAGATACCATGATTTTTAATCCCAATTCCAAAGCACTAGGTCAGAGCCAGGAGTTGGACCCAGTCTGCCTGACTCTAGAGCCAGTGCTTTCAACCAGTATTCTACACTGCCCAGTAAATATATTCATCTCACTGGCCTGTCAGCCTGTCCTGTGCTGAATTCCTAGTCTTCCCTTATATCTTCACTTCTGTGTAGCATTCTGAGTTGTGTATGATAGGCGTTACATGAATGACTCTCAAACAAAGGATATTTGAGATACGACTGACATCCCTGAGCTTTACTTCCTGTACCTTGAATTTAGGTCCTACAGTTTGGATTTTGAGGGAAGAAAGTACAATGGTGATTATTTTGCTATGCAACTCCTTCCTGTGGATATATATTTTAGCAATTATTTGTATAGTGTGTTCTATACAAGAGGCGTTGTTGTCAGGCTTCATAAATATCACTGAAGCCTCACAAGAGCATTGAGTAGACACTATTGTTTTCCCCACTTTACAAAGTAGAAGACAGTTATTGAGAGGCTAAATAACATGCCCATGGTCACACAGCCTCACAATCCTGCTACATCATCAAGCCTGTTTATTTTATCAGCAACAAACCACCAACACCGTAGAGGAGCCGCTGGATCTCATCAGACTCAGCCTGGACGAGCGAATCTATGTGAAAATGAGGAATGACCGAGAGCTTCGAGGCAGATTACACGTAAGAGAATCTGTCAGATTACCTTGAAATCAGAGCATTTCCTTGTCATTCCTTCCTACTTCACTCCTTTTAAAAACTACTCAGTGGAAGAATATTTTGAATTATGGCAGAGAGGGAAGTGGAAAGTCACTTATATTTCTTTAAGCCAAATACAACTATACTTTATTCATACTTTTAACAGTTTTTCTACCAACAGATGTATGGTTGTTATATAAGACATTTTTATTTCCTTAATTTTTCCCTTATGTTTATTTGCAAATAAATTTATTTGTCCTCCATGTTTAAATGCTTTTTAGTTATTATTCTTAGACATAAATATATTTTGTTGTGAAAAAATTAAACACCACAGAAATATATGTAGTAAAAGATAAAATCCCTTTTCCTCTATTGATAACCACTGTTAAAAGTTACGTATGTAGTCATTCAGGTATGTTCCTTATATTTACATATATGTGTGCATCTGTCCCATGTGCATATATTTGCACTATATACACCACCTCTTTAAAGATGGGATCTTGCCTCACGTATTTTTCAGCACCTTTCTTTTTTGCTTAATCTTTCGTGGAAATCATTAATTATGAGTGCATTTAAGTGTCCTTCATTTATGTTGGGAAGACACTGGGCGGCAGTTAACAGCCTAGTGACAACATAGGATTCTGTGTTTGATAGTGATATTTAGATTGATTTACATTTTTGGCTATTATAATGCTGTAGCAGGACTTTTTGTACACATTTCTTTGTGCATATCTGCAGTTAATGTCTTTGAATTGGTCTCTTGAAATGGTCGCATTTGTTCATAAGGGTATACTGAAGGTTTTGCTTCTTGATGACTTGCAACTTACCTATCAGTCTACCCCTAAATTTATTAAAATAGCATTAAGTATATGCCAGGTGCTATTATGCCAAGTGTTTTAAATGTGCTGTCACCTGATCTTTATAACAACCCTAAGAAGGTAACTTCTGCTAATTTTTTCTGCTTTGCAGTTGAGGGAGGTCAGGCTCAGAAATGTAGTTTCTTGTTCAGAGTGACTTAGCCAGTACAGAAGAGCTGGAATATAAACCTAGGCAGTGTGACTTGAGCTCCATTCTTAAGCACTATGGTTCCACTTTCCATGAAACCTATAAAGGACCTCTGGCATTTCGAGAGAAATAGAGGCCAAGGGAGACAGTAGTCTTTATTTACAGTGAGCCTTAAAGGAGGAGGAGGAGGGCGTCCCGGAAGTGGAATGGTGCTAACATTGGGGAGAAAATAGAATCTTGAGTGTAATTCTGTGGCACTTGGAGAGACACCACGGTACAGACATGTGACACTTAACTTTTGGGGATTCTTCCATTACCTGTGTAGACCTATGGCATCTACGGTAAATGCTCCAAATTTCCACTGTTTTTTACTCCAGCTATACATTTTGCTTGTCCATGTGCCCTGCCTAGCACTTCCTTACTTGGCTGGTAGGTTATTTTTATCTTGATGCAAGCAGGCACACCATTCAGTGCTTTGTTAGAAATAAATTGTTACAAAGCCCTAGGACGGTGATGGCGAACCTTTCAGAGCTTTCAGTGATAACAAACACCTGTCTGTGGCACATGTGCCATGGGTTCCCTACCACTTCCCTAGGAAGTTCACCTACTAATAAATGCATGAACTTTTGAGGAGGCATTGAATATCTTTGTTGCCGCATTGACTGAACCCACGGGTGCCAGGCACATTTAGGTTCTAGGTGGGTTATAAATCACAGGGTGTTGTGCTCCCTACTTTACCTTTGTGGTCTACACCAGGACAGGGAAAGTCAGACAGTGGTATCCTGTCTGGTTAGAAGACGGCAGTTCCATCGTCTTAGCAGTGAAAGGATTTTTGACTCATTTACTGTTTCTTCAAGAAGTGTTCTGATTTCTGTTTTTGTAATTCTCTGTGCTTTTTATAATTTAGTATTGTAAATGTTGTTGTCACCTTGGATAACAAGTAGAACGGGTACTTAAGAGTAATTTCAAGTTATTTTGAGTATATTCACTTTTGGCCATATAAGCAATGTTTTATTTTTATCAGGTCAGTTTACATTGTTGTTGGAATTGATTTGTGAAGAAACAGACAGACACAACAAGATGAGTTTTTATCTGCGTGTAAACGTTTGTGGTCTAAGTTTGTGGTCTAAGTACTGCTTGTAGTGGAGCCATTTGCATGTTGTAAGCCTGTTTGTCATTCCTTAACAACATCTTGTGATTCCTTGCCCTCCCCACTTCAGGCTTATGATCAGCATTTAAACATGATACTGGGAGACGTGGAAGAAACTGTGACCACTATAGAAATTGATGAAGAGACATACGAAGAGATATACAAGGTAAGTCATGCAGTTCTGTTTATCACTTTGAAAATGTCAGGTCTCATAATGCAGCAGCCTAACACACATTTACAGAGAGCCGGGGCCCGGGGAGATAGCTCAGCAGCACAAGCTCAGCAGCCTGCCTGGCAAGTGCAAGGGCCTGAGTTTGATTCCTGGTGCCAAAAAAAAACAGGAAGCCTGTGATGTTTTGGCACCTACTTATGGATTCGATAGAGTCTGGAAGTTACCGCCAAAGCTTCTCCAAAGAGAAGAGCAAGGCTTTGGGGTCAGACATGCCTGGCTTCCAATACTGACTTGGCCACTTCATATCTCAACTCCCTTGGGCAAGAAATTAACTTTGTAGGCTTCTCAGTGGTGAGCAGGAGGCTGCCAGTTAACTCATAGAGTTTCCACATGCAGTGAGATCTGTGTCTTAACAGTAACGCAGAATAATACTCTTCTGTGTCATAGGGGTTTGCTTGTCAATCATTACTGCATGCGAAACTAAAACAAACATTGAAGTATTCATTTAGAAATAGAAATCTATAATATCGTAACTATATTTTCTATTTTATGTGTATCTATTTTTTGCTAGTAGTGGATATTATAACCCTGGCCTCACATATGCTAGCCAACCACTCTACTGGTGCGCTACCTCCTCAGGCCTTTGTGTCACTAAACGGTTCAGGCTAGTCTCGCATTTGTAGCCTTCTTGTCTCTGCCTCCTGAGTAGCTGGGATTATAGGCATGTGTCACAGAACCCACCTTAACTGTTTTCTAATAACAAAATATTTGGTCAAAAGTGTGTGTTACCTTTTTGGAAATCTCTGTATTGCCTGGCTTAATGGATGACAACTACATTTGCAAGTCTTTTTTTTTTCTTTATGATATGTCGTAACTGAAAACCTGACTGGGCACAGTTAGGCAGTTGGAGAAGAAGGGGTATATTTTGCAGATACTGCTGTTGATGTTGTACCCAGTCTCAGCAAGTGGTATTTCCTACCAGTATTGCAGTATGGTGTCCAGCACCACGACAGTGGGCTTTATTTATTCTTGAAAATGTACTGACCTGCTTTGTTCTTCACATAGATCTTGGGTAAGATGTGATTTCGTAACTTCAAGCACTGGTCATTTGGAAATTATTAGTTCACATTAGTTGTGCATGTCGTCCAGACTGTGAAGCATTTCACTGGTCAGTATTTTAATGGTCATAGTAGTTTGGATCACCACTGGTCTCATCAGAGAAGCCTTTACATTATGAAACCAGTCTCTTGCCCTGCTGGACTCCAGAGGTTAAGAATATGGGCTTTTTTGGGACTCACAAGGGGAAACAATACAGGGCACATTATGTATTTATAAGATTATAATAGTCACCCAAAGAGTCATATATGTACGAAAAGAGTGTAGGAAATCTGTCTACACACTAAAGACTGACGAATCCAGCTGAGGGCCTGGATCCCAAGGCAGTGTCCTGCATGAGTCCAGCTGAAGACCTAGAGCCCATAACAATGCCTCCCACTAGTCCAACTGAAGGCCAAGAGCCCACAGCAGTGTCTCATTCAGGCCTGTTTAAGTGATCTGCACTGGGAAGGCCCAAACGTCAGTGATAGAAGCTAGAAAGTCTGTGCCAGTGGGATGAAGGATGTGTTCTAGCAGCCTGAGGGATCTGAACTGGAGCCAGGAATTGACACTCAAAACAAAGACCAGAACTCCCCCCAAAAGTACCACAGCCATATCCTTAGCGACAATGAGGTTCTGAGCTCCTCCAGCGAAGAGAACAGTCAAGTTCATGAGGAAAGCCAGCATGACAAGCTCCTCCAGGAAAACCAACAGCCCTAAGAGAACCATAGCTCCCATCAGCTTCTCTTCTCCCGTTCTGCCTCTTACGCCCCTGGCAACAATCCTCAAGTGAGCCCTCTACACCCAGCAAGCACCACACTGATTTGGTTCAGTTGGGTGTTACAAGTTGACCACCAGTTGTCAGTCCAACACAGGCTTGGACTTCAGGACGACCTGGGTTCAGATCTTGACTCTGCCATCCCCTGTACAATTAGGCTAGGTTACCCAACCTGTGTGACCAGGTCTTGTCTGTAAGATGGGGACCATGGTAGCATCTACTTCTGTGACTGTCAATGACTTGAGAAGTTGTGATGGGCCAAGTGCTTGTTCAGAGTGAGCTTCTGCTGGCTCCCATAGCTCTCCACACTGGCTGTCCTCCTCCTCTGCCCACTCCTGACTTTTTCACCAGCGTTCTTTCATGTGTGAGCATTTGGCTTTTTTCCTTCTTCTACTTTTTTGTTTTGTTTTGTTTTTTTTCCAGTACTGGAACCAAACTCACGACCTTGTGCTTGCCTGGCAGGCGCTGTGCCGCTGAGCTAAATCCCTGGCCCCACCTACATTTTTTTTCCATTAGAGGTGTTGGGTAGTAACCTGTTTTTGTGGAGTTTTTTGCATTTCACGTGCTTTTAAAAATGGAAATTGTTACAATATTCCAATTTTGAAATCTTTCTCCCTACATTTTAGCATCTCTCAGCTCTAGTTGCTTCTCATAGCCGAGATGATCTGAAAAAATAGTGTCAGTTTAATTGGCAGTATTTTTCCTCCTGTGGTTCAGGGAAAGCTTACAGATGATATCTGTAATATGATGAAATATGGAACCCACAGTTTTACATCCTGCTTTTTTCATATAATATTACCAGTATGAGAATTTGACAGTAGAAATACTCTTCATAAACATTTGGTTATTCTCATCCTTATTTCTGCTGTGACAAAATGACTGCAGCTGCGTGTCTGCTCTCAGATCTGTCCTGGTGACTGCCAGGCCATCTCTTCCACCTCCGCTCACCTGCTCAGCAGCTTCACCCCAAGACTGCTGGGAGGTGCCGGGTGCGTGCACACACGGGTGTAGGGGTGGGGGTAGACATAGTCCCAGATTGTCCCTGACTTCTGTAAAGTTTGCCTCCTTTGGCCTCTGCACTCTGCAGCCTGGTGCCTGGGCCTCTTTCGCTTCCACAGTAGCAATTGCAAAAGAAAAAGCAGAGTTTGTCTAAGTAATGAGATGTTTGCTGCACTGTCATTTGTTGGGTAAACTGTTAAAAATGAAATCATTAAATGATAGGAAACACTTCCCTCCTTTTGTCTGTGAAGGAACAGCTGTCCTCTGTGGAACATGTAGTACCCTGCCACTTTCTGACGGGCCTCTGTTCTTGTGTGAGCAGCTTGCCTAGCGGGCTGCAGATGCTCACTGCGGGTTCTAGTACATCCGTGTAAATGCAGGTGAAAAGAACGGGCAGCACTGCAGCACAGCACTCATCCTGCTGTGCGGGTGCTCTCTGCCCGTGATGAGAAACCGGACTACAGGGCCTCTCACTTACCCCGGTACATGTTTTGCGTTCTTTTCCCCTACTGAAGTAATTAATGAATATGAACATTACCAAATCAGAAGGGGACTCACAGAGCAGAGGTACTCTGTGGGTTTCCCATTGCTTACATAACTAACTTACATAACTGTAGTTCAGTTGCCTACTGATTTGCTAATGGGCACGCAGGCAGCCAGCCAGCCAGCCAGCCTCACGCTTGGCTTCTGCACACCTGGAGGTGTTTTGTAATCTGCCAAAAGTTGGATTATTTGGCCCCCATGGATTTTTTCAACCGTGCATCATGTTTACTGCTGTCCTTCCAAAGTCTCTCTCACCACACCATATTTCTTGTGCACCTTTGTACCTGAGCCTTGAGGCCCCAGGCTCGAGGGCCCCTCCCTCGCCCTGCAGACCTCTGCCTGAGGGAGTCAGGCTGAGGAGACAGCTCCAGGTGTCTCTTGTCTCTTGGTCCACTCTCAAATTAGTGTTGATATTTGTTTGCTACAGGAAGTCTGGGTGGAAACACAGCAGCCGGCTCTTATCTGCCTTCAGGGCAGAGTTTCTATAACAGAAGTTCATCAGTGCTCTTTTAGAAACACTTTCCTTCTGTAGGTGGGTCTCAAAAGGAACTGAGTTTTCTAACCCTGTGAGTCCTAGTTATTTTCATCTCTGCTTAAAAACGAGCTCTCCAGTTGTAGCCTGAGCTCCTCTCTTTCTTGAACTTCCCCACTGAGTGCTTGAGGCCAACAGTAGTCCCTGTTGACAACTTACTTTTCCAGCCTCTTCAGAGTCTGGGTTCCAGCTTTTGGGCTACTTTTCCAAACTCTGCCTGATGTGTGGCCAAGGCACAGTGACGAGTTCATGTGACTCCTGACTGCCAGCTCCCCATATGTGCCTACAGTGTGTCACAGCGCTGATTTCCATGTGACATTTTGAGTGGGGTTTGAGGTCAGCATTACAGCCTCTTCCGGGGGCTCTGGCATGGTTGTGCTGTCTCCCAAGTTCTCGCCATTACTTGCTTCCAGCCAGTGGAAGAGGATGGACCGCAAATGGGCAGTGGGGAGGTTTCTAGGTCACTTAGCGTGCAGTCCTGTTGACTTCCCATTGGTTAAGATGCAGTCCTACAGCTGATTGGGTGAGAACGTAGCCCAGTAGTGGAGAGGGGCTGGGCGGGTAGGGCCCATTTCCCACCGCAGTTGTCAGTGTCTAAGAAAAGGAAAAGGGAATGGGTTGATTCTGTGTGCAACAAAGTAAAGTTTTTAATTGAATTTTTTGTGCTATAATGAACATGTTTTTTAAAAAGATTCCACAAAAAAAATAAATAATTACTGTATTTGTATAAACGTGATTTTTTTTTTCTTTCTTTTCCAGTCAACAAAACGGAATATCCCGATGCTGTTTGTCCGGGGAGATGGTGTTGTGCTAGTTGCCCCTCCACTAAGAGTTGGCTGAAACGGAAAATTTGTCCTGTGTGGCAACATTTGGCTGTTTAACTGAACCAGACATTCAGAGGTCGAGGCTATACACACACTGATACAGAGAAATAGCCAGGGGATTTATTCACCCATGAAATGAGTTGATTTGCAAAATCCTTATAACATTCTAAACTAAGTAGCATTTTTGTTTTTCTCTTAGCTTTCCACTGTACATGTTCATCAAGGTGCTGAACTGTTTTTCAGGAGTTGGTTTGCTCTATTCTTCTTGCAGACAACGTCTAGTGTTTTTTTCTTTAAATTAAACTTGATGTTTCCCTTTTGGTTAACACAGCCTCCTGTCTTGTGAGTTCCACAAGCCTCACATTCGCTGTCCCCCGCACTGGGTGATGTTTACAGCGCGCCGTCACCTACCAGTCATAGGGCGGGAGATTGCTGCTGATAGAATAGAGCCACAAGAGCTCAAGGCGTCATGCCCACATGAGGGGGTCCTGCCCAAGTAAGAACAGGGATAAGGGCGGGCAGCATGTCCTCTTAAAGGTCACCACTCTAACAACACAGACATGGTTCTGCTGCTTGGACTACACTAACCATACAACTCTGAAGAAAGCATTTCCTCTCCAGGCCATCAGCAATGGGGCCTGAGATAGCAAGCATGTCTCAGTGAAAGCCGGAGGTGGAACTGTTGGGACTTCTAACATCACTCAGCCAGAACCTTGTGCTTAAAAAGTAAAAGGGAAGGTTGATGGGGGTTAACAGTCTCCTCACCTTTGCCTCCCTCGAGTCAGGGTTTAGAACTGTTGTGAAACGTGGGAAACGCACTTTGAGGCTGGCTCATCTGCACACGTGCTGGCCGTGTTTGCTAACCATTACCACGCTCACATGGCCGCGCTGTTTCAAGCCATGTGCTGCGAGAACGATGCTTTCAGCGCAGGCCACGTGAGAAGGGCTTGTTTTCATTGCTCACAGTGCCTGTCCCTGCAAGTTAATGGAGAGGAGAGGAACGAGCGTGGGTGAGCTGACGGCAGATTTATCTTGTGCGAGGAAGCAGGAGTCTCCCTTCACCTTCACCCTGCACCTCACCCTCAGGTGTGCAGCAGCCTCCGCTGTGGAGCAGGTGGCCCTCGGTTCCGGCAGTGGCCAGTGGCCGTTCCCAGCATTGAGTGCTCTGTGGATGACGGTGCACAATGGTCACTCCGGGTGATGACACGTTGAATACCTCTGCCTATGTAATCCTCCCAGTTGTACTGTGCGGTGGTACAAGACTGAAGCTCAGAAGAGCTTAAGTCACTGCCAGGACCTGGGGCAGCAGGGCGTGACCCCTGCCCCCACCTGTGTGGACTTGTGCAGACACCGCAGAACCCAGCTTGTGAATCACACCAGTGTCCGTGGCCCAGGTGTCACTGCCCCGGCCCTCGCTCTGGCATGCTGTAGCTCCCTCCTGCAGTGCGTTTATCTTTCTGGGATCTGCGCTTAATCTCTTGAGTCCTTTTCTGCCCTATTGTTAGTCATCTTCTTTTTCTCCTGAACTGATGTGAAGACTTGTTTATACCCATATGTTTCTAAAACACAGGAACCTTACTGCGACACGGCCACCTTCCCCCACACGTACATACACGCAGCCATAAGAATTTACAAGCATCTGCTCGTCCGGCTATTAAGACGGGCAGTATAAGAACAGTTGCAGGTGGGGGTTTGCGTTATGAGCTGTGCAGGCCACCATAGGGCCCTGCAGCAAGCCCAATGTCAAGGTCACCTCTGCATGATGCTGGCCAAGGCCCCTGGGAGTCATACCTTGGACCTTGAACTTTGGACCTGGGAGCTTCTCAGCACTCAGTCCTGACCTCCTGCTGGGTGGCCCTTGGTCGCTGGCACTGGTGACCAGTGGTCTCTGCAGTATGATATCACGCAGCTCCAGGGAGCCTCCTGATGGTCTTTCCTTTGGAAACCTCCCCAGCTTGTGTCAGCCTACACCTGGTCTTGGGCTTCTAAGTTGTGTTTGCCTCCCTCAGAGGAAGCTGGATCAACAAAATGGAGTACCACCTTGAGATGACGTATTTCCCAGCCGAAGCTTGAGTGTCCCAAACAAACCTAAAATCATTAGCTACATTCAGAGGATTTCACACTTCAAATAGTTTTGAAGGCTTGTTCAGACTAGATAGAGTTATCCCTCTGCCATGAAGAGGTGGAAGCTGAATTCTCGTGCCCTTTTATTTACTCCCACGTACAATGCTCAGCTGCCACCCAGGGGAGTGTTACAGTTGCCAGCTAAGTAAGGCTTGCTGGCGTTCAAGGTGGAAAATAACTTCCAGGAGTCATCCTGGCGGGGTGTTTCTCTGTCACGCAGCCCTGCCGAGCTCAGTGGGCTTTGTCCTTGGGCTGATCCAGAGGTCTCGCTAACCCTGTCGCAAGGGTGCCTATTTTTGTTCTGCTCAGCTGGCTCCTGCGCCATCTGCAGGCTAGAATTCTGAGCCCAAGAACGGGGCTGTGACTGGCCAGGCTTGCATCTGTGCCCACCCTGGGAACAAAGAGCTGGCGCATTCCCTCTGGGCAGGTAGAGAGGCCTGATTCTCATAAGGATGCCAGGGGAAGGGATAACTCTTGGTCCGTTCTAGTTTATAGAAAAATCCTTTGGTACTTTATACTTAGTAACGAATTTGTTGGAATGCACCTCCATCGATGTGATTTTTTAACCGGGTCGCGGGCTGGCACATCCTAGAGGCATCGACGCAACAGTGGTCGCTGGAGTCTCTAGGGGGTCTGGGGCCCGTAGAGCTGCTTGGGTCAAGGCGCTGGCGAGCACAAGGCCCCATTCTCTGTGCTGCTATGCAGCAGCCCTTGGCCAGGGCCTGGGCCGGTCTGTGTCCTCAGTCAGTGTTGAGCCAACGATCAGGGACAGCAGCAGCACTTTCTGGCCAGTGCTGTGGGCAGGAAGGGGTAAATGGCACTTTCCAAGATGGTGGGCCCTGCACCCACAGCTGGATGGTGCCCCTCGCCTCTACACCCACTGCCATCGTCTCCTTCACTGTGGGCCTGGGACTGTTGGGAGACGCCTGCTGTGGGCACTGAATTGGTTATCAGCTTACATGGAAAACAAACACCAGGAATTGAGGACTTCAAGGCCAAGAGTTTTAAATGCCTTCCAGATCCATTGCTCAACTTTAATGAGCCAGAGCATGTAGATTCCTGTTCTCTGGGCTGCTTCGGAAGCTTGCTGGGTGTGCACTTTCGGACACTGATTGCTACAGAGGAATTCGCTCTCACTTTCCCCACCTGTGAACTGTGCTGCAGGGATCCGGCCCTGAGAGGGTTGGGAACCTGGCCGCAAGGGCTTGCAGCGTGACCTCTTGCTTGTTCCAGTTGCCCCCACCCTCCCCGGGTATTTTCAGGAGAATCAGGACTTTGAAATAAATTGACACAGCTGTGTGTGGTGGTGCACTTCTGTAATCCCAGCACTCGGGAGGCTGAGGCAGGAGGATCACCATGAGTTTGAGACCAGCCTGGGCTACTACCTAAGCAAGTTTCAAGCCAGTCTGGACTACATAGTGAGACCTTGTCTCAAAAACAAAAACAAAAGTTGAGTCATTCAGTTGAAACTCACTTTCATGCTCACTTTGGCAGCACATATACTTAAATTGGAATGATACAGAGAAGATTAGCATGGACCCTGTGCAAGGATGACTAGCAAGATCATGAAGTGTTCCATATTTTTTTAAAAAATAAAAATTTTAAAAACTCACTTTGAAGCATCCCGTGTGTGCAGTGGTCTGTCATGGAGGGAGGTGTGAGGGACCGGAAGGGCGAGGTGCTGGGAGAGAGTGTGCTGCGTCCCACGGCAATGTCTTGGGCTGGCAGAGGGGCAGTCACCAGGGAGGCTGAACAAACCAGTGAGGCCAGCCTTGCTAGGTCGGAAGTCAGCAAGGGGACCTGCAGGCTGCAGCAGCGGTGCCCAGGGAGGATGTGAGGGGAGAAGGGACAGGAGAGGAGAAGCCCAGGGGAGAGGCAGAGACCAAAGCCAAAGGCTGTCCAGTTGGGCTGGGTGGGCTGCTCACAGCCCCATCCCTGACGCCTCGGCGTGGGTCAGGTGCTGCAGCGGCCCCTTCTGTACCCCAGTCTGGTCACTCCTCCACCTCGCCATCTTTCCCTTGAAGAAGGGAGCCATCTTCCTTTTCAGCTAACAGCTGCCCAGGTTCCTGTGGCCAAATGACAGCTTCCCTGCCTCTGCTGGGCCTGCGGGAAGAGCAGGGCTGGGGTCAGACCTGCCGCTGTGCCCTGCAGCCATGCACGCAGAGCTTCTCCGCGAGCCTGACCTTCCCGGTCTCCCTGTCACAGGAGGAAATGCGGAGGGTTGAGTTCGCCCCTGAAGGGCTGTCAGTAATCTAGCTAGGAGCACGATTCAACTTACGTGTATTTATTTTCAATTAATGTATCTTTTACTGGTAGATAAAAACATAGATATCATACATATTAATGGTAACATGATTTAGTAACATATACAATGTATAACGTTAATCCAGGTTAAACGTGGTTACCCAACTGGTTAAAAAAACTGGAAATCCTTCTCCCTAGCTTTCTCAAGTGCAGTGTTGCTCATTTGCCATTACCCACTGTGCAACACTGCACCGGAGTTCTGCCTCCTTTTAACCACGGTCCCAGCATCAAGCAAGCGACACTAGGGGGTGCTGTCCTCTTCGCTCTCCGACCTCACCTTGGTTTGTAGTCAACTTGTGCCTGGGTCTGTGTGTTCCGTGCTGCCTATTTCCCTAAATCCAGTGTGTGTACCTCCAACCCTACTCTGTCTCCCGCTGCCAGCAGCAGAGGAGAAGAGAGAACAGCTGATCCAGAGGCCCAGAGAGGAAGCTGTAGGTGAAGTGCCCCTCTAAAGATGCCCATCCCAAGAAGCTGAACCGAGAGGTTGTTGCTCCCTGGAGTGCGTGCTGGGCTGGGCGGTTGTGTCACCACGCTGGGCCCTGTGCACGCAGCTGGATGGTGGCTCCACGGAGCTGTCCTCAGGGTTCAAGGTCAGATTGTCCACACCATTGAGCAGATCCCTGTTCCCGCGGCTAGCATCAGTGTCCTCACTGCGGTGTCCTTTGCTTGAGCAGTGTGGCTCGAGAAAGGCCTAGGCTCACTGTTCCTGATTGAAAGAGCCCTGCTTCGCAGTTCCTGAGGAACCTTTGGACGCCGTCTCTCAGGGCCAGCCTTTGTGTTTGCTAGGTGAGAATACAGGTTGCACTGGAATATATAGTAATAGAATACTATTACCCGTAGCAGTACTACTACTGGCTGGGTGCCAGGCTTGGCCTCTCTGGTCCCCAGTTTCCTCCTC